ATTGTCCAACAATGGGCAGGGGTCATGGAGGCTAAATATCCCACAACACATGATGAGGAATTACCCAAAATGCTAATTGTCCTTTCCTTACACAACACGAAAGGCCTTGTAGGATAAGGTAGAGAATTAATTTTTTTTCTAAGCGTTGATAAAAAAAATCATGGGAGTTTGATTTACAAAATTTGTTTAAGTTTTAAAAGTTTTAAAAAGATAATTTTCACTACTAAGTTGAAAATGGAGTCGGGGAAAAGTTGGAGGCAAGGAGACCAGTTAGGAGGCTGTTACAACCGTCCCGGTGAGAGACTGTGGTAGTTGAAACCAGAGAGGGGAATAAGAATAGTAGTTAGAACAGGAGGAAGCCATAAGAACTGGTCAACTTCACGATATGTTTCAAAGGTAGAAGAAACAAGGCTTACTGATGGATTGAACGTAGTGTGTGAAGGAAAGAGGGACGGAGTAAACACTGCCGTTTACTGAGATGGCTGAGATTGCGGAGGAGTGGGGGATGGGAAAGAGGTGTAGTTTTGGACCTGGGGACTGCAAACCACCAGTTAGTTATGTTAGTAGAGTTTACGGGAGATAATATACATCGAGTGCTTGACATAGACCAGAGCCTATCTCAAACGTTAGCTCCTTAGCTTCCTTAGCTTCCCTTTTGTGGTATTTGACATTTTTAAGAACTTTCTTCCTCTAAAAATTCTGTTTCCTTTGCTCCTGCAACCTCTTTCTGTCTTTATTATGTTATCTCTTCAGCACATTTTACAGTTCCTCTTCTTAGACACCTCCCTTGCATGCTGGCCTTTCCAGCATTCTGTCTCTGAAGCTCTTCTCACAGTTTTGGTGTCTATCCTAGTCTTTTTCTTGAATAAATATATATATTTTGTTAACTGCACAAAGTCATGTTTGGTTTTGTCCATTTAAACATTATCACACAGTCCTATTCTAAAAGACAAATGCTCATTAAAAACAAACAAAAACAAAAACTCACAACCTTAATAACCTAGAAGATTTGTCATTTAAAGAAGGTTTAAAAGGAAAAAAAGGGGGTGGCAGAAGAGGGGTTTTCTTACAAGCTTTTCAGCAAGTGTCACATTTTCTCCTTAAATGGGAAGGATTTCAAAACAAAGGTGAAATGGCTTAAATAGAAGTATTCATAAAAAGGAACTTTACAGAACTGTCAACAATATTAAGACAACATTGACTAACCAGTTTCATTATGGCCTCTCCCCCCACTCTTCATTGCAGAGTTATAATATGCTTGTTTAATTAATCATATATTGTGAACATCTTCCACGTCACTACATAGTCTTCTAAAACATCATTAAAACAAATTCCTTAACATTTCATTATTTGGATATATCATAATTTATTTTGTTAATTCTCTATTATATTTTTACATGCTATTTTTTTTATTTTCAATAACTGCAAAGTTATAGAAAAACTGAAAGAACAATACAAAGAAAGTAAATTGCCTGCATGATGCCATCACCCCAGTACTTCAATGTGTATTCCCTACACACAAGGAT